TGAACTGCGCTGCCTGGAGAGATTCCAGAACCGCCGTCGACTGGGGGAGTGGGGTTGGGTTGGGTTGCGTTGGTGCTTGTGGGACTGGGATATGGACAGGTTGCGCTCTGGGTTGTGCAAATGGCAAATACGTCAATGTTGTTGGTTCCTCCACCACTCCACCACTCCACCCCTCCAACACTCACCCGCAGGCGATGCTGCTGCATTTGTTAGTTGTGTGCTGTGCGCTCTCTCAGTCCTCATCCTCCTCCTCCCTTCGGTCGCTCCGTTATGCCTGCTTCTCCTGCCTTTGCTGCTGTTTGCGTACTCGTTCTCTCACTCTAATTTATGGGTCGTGCGCGCTCTCGTTCCACATTGAGGCTTTGCCTTTGCCTCCTGCAGGCAGCAGGCGGCAGCAGTCACATCAGCCAAGGAGGGGTGGAGAGAGAGGGCGGGCGAGGAAGGCAGAAACTACAGCAACACCGTTACATAAATACCAGCTACAAAAACAACTGCACTACTTGTTGTTGTTCTTGTTGCTGCATAAATTCATTTGTTTGTCGCTCCTCTTCTTCTTGCTGTTGTTGTTTTTGTTGTTGTTGTTGCTGCTGTTTTTGGTATTTACTCGCTCTGCCGCTGCTCTGTCACTGTCCCTTGCGTTGGCGTCGCTGTCGGCGCTGGCATCGGCATGGCTATCGTGTACGATAGTCCTCGTTCTTGGTATAGTTGTTGTTGTTGTTTTTGTCGGTGGTGGTTTGCCTTTCCTTTCCCCTTTCGTTGCCATTTTCAATTTTAGTTTTGCTGTTTCTCTGCTTCGTCTGCGTCGGCTTCTCCTTCTTCCTGCTCATTCGTTAGTGGATTCGTTTTACTGCCACTCGCCGCACGTTTCCCTCTCTGCTGCCGCACCCCACACTTCCCCACACTCCCACGCCACGCTGCTGTGTGTCCTTGCACGCTCGTTTCCTGTTCGGTTTGGCGCAAACTGCGCGACAATCCATGGAATGCCCTAGAGCGGGGTGGCGGGGTGGCGAGTGGCGACAGACTCTGGTGTGACTCGGGAGTTACAGTGCTCCCCTCTGTCCTCGCTTGAGGGGGAGGACTTACACACGCCCCGTTTCGGTTCAGAGTTTACATTTTATGTGTGTCCCTTTTTTTTTGTGGATTGCGCACACCATGGCCGAGGCGAGAGACGAGCAGACCCATCAGAGTCTTCCACTCTCACTCCCTCTCTCTATCTCTCTCTCTCTGTTACTCTGGTTAGGGCTTTCCTTCGAGATAATGTAATACAGCAACAAGAAGGAGAAACAGGAAGAAGAATAACCTGCCATCTACAACGCACAGAGTGTTCCGATATCCCTTCTCTTTGCTTCGATTTCATTTTCGTTCATTTCCTTTACTTAGCAGTGAGTGAATGATTTACCTGCCCTGCTCTGAGGCTCGTCGTTGGCCGCAGGAATAAGCAGCTCCGTTAATGCCAGGCTTCAGGAAGTTACAAGGTCTGCTTCTGGTAAGGTGAGGAAATCATAGGAAGAGCTGGAAGTCCTCACTTGTACAAATACACCTTGCTAGCCATTGAGCATGGAAAATGCATTTACCGTTGCAGTTTGAGTGAGCATTATTGCTTCCTTGCCCTGAATACCCCGCATACCTTCTGCATGGTATTCTGGATAATTTGTAATTTTCATGAAAGTACAATCGCCTGCCTACGCATTCACATTTCTTCAACTGGAAGGTGTCAAAATGCTTCATTTGACAAGTGGTTAAACGAATAATGGACGAATTGCTTTGGGTGAAAATCCAATTATAAAGGTTTTAATTCAATTACTGAGATTTTGCGAAAACTGAGTGATTTTCTGGCCGACGGCAGACTGAAAACTTGCAATGAGAAAATAAAGTGATTGATTAAAGAACGGCTAGCCTGCAGTACTTGTTGCTGCACTTAAAGTGCTAGTGCGGGGGGGGCAGACGAAACAGAGAGCTGAGTGGCTGAGTGAACGAGGCGGAGGAAGAGAGAGAGAGAGAGAGAGAGAGATCGCGCCGCCAGACGAATGACGCAGACTGTAAGCACTGTAACTTGTCCGCTCTGCATGTGCTCTCTGTTCGGCTGAGTCAATAACCCCTGCCGCCGGGAAGAGAAAAACAAGAAATAAGCGAAGAAACTCTCCCAATCTCTTCTCTTGCGTGTTTGTGCCCGAAGAACAAGAAGTCAACGTGAATAATGGACAGAGACAGGGGCAAAAAGAGTGAACTGAAAAACGGCGGACGCGTTAAGGCCACCGCCAACAATCAAAAGCAACAACAGCCACATGAAGCGAAACGCATGGTTGGCAACAACAAAAACAACGAAAGAATAACGAAAGAAGGAATGAAATCATGGCCATACCTAAATCTAAATCCACAAGAATTCCAGGCAAAAGAATAAGTGCATGTGTGTGTGTGTGTGTGTGTGTGCAGTAACAGTCAAGTCAAAGATGAGAGCGCGAGCGAGAGATCAAGGAAATTGGAATCGAAACGCGGTTTTTGGAAAGAAAAGGAGAATCTTCCTTCCTTCGATTGCAGCAGCAGCAAAAGCTTCGGTTCTGAGTGCACTTGACCCAGAGAGAGAGAGAGGGAGAGAGATAGAAAATGTATACTGAGGTTTTTTTTTCGATGAGGGAATCAATAATGAAAGTAAATAATTGGACTCATCGATACCTTTAGGGTAGCTGGGGAGGTGCACACCCACTGTCAGGCAATTGATTAGCTTATTGACCGATGTAGCACCAGAACACGAATAATCTTGAATAGAGCAAATCAAACGGAATATACCGAACAGTCGGCGGTGGCGGTGGCGGTGGCGGCGGCGGCGTCATTTGTTGTGTGTATAACATGAAAACGAATGACGGCAACGGCGGCAGTGGCAGCGGGGGTATGGTATCGCCAAGATATAACACAAAATCAAACACCCATACAACCAAACAGACTCGACATACACACACACAGACACAAACGCACAACGGAAAGACAGACTGCCAATTGAGTTAGAGAGAGAAGATAATCAAGAGCAAACAACAAAAGCAATAACAATGGACTTCCAACACCGTCGAGCTTAGCCGGAGGAGTGGGGAGGGGAGGGGATAGGGTGAGATGTGAGCTTTGCAAAAGAGGCAGAGGTTGGGTAGGGGGGTATGTATGACTATGACGCCAGCAACGGACAGCACACAATGAGCAGAATTTTTCACATTTGTACGCTGTCACTCACAAATATTGAAACGAATGTCGAAGCATGGAAGAGGGGGATGTCCGTGGGGAGTGGTATCGAATCATTTGCTATGAGCAGAATACTAACACAAACATATCTAGCGCAAAAAATATGTGCTGCTCGCACACCTTCATTCTGGGCGACTATGGGGCCTGCCTGCGTTGACGCTGCGTCGGCAGCGCTAAATGGATACCGTTTTGCGGGTGGAGACCGAGCACAGAGTCAAATCATATTCCTACCCATCCTCCCCTCCTCCTTTCGCTATGCGGTCACTGTGCGGTTGCGAGCGAGAATCAAACGAAGAAGAGCCAGCATTAAACCATTTAGCCAGTGTGCGAAATCCGACTCGATTCCCCTCCCCGCCAGCAGACTTCTGCCGGCTGCATGATAAGGGCGCACATCTGCCGCCAGTCGATGCGTGACAAAAACACCAACACAAACACAGTGCGCAATAACGAACGGTTATTAACGAACCTCCTCCCAACCACACGACAGACAAACGATACAGTGCGACAGACACAGTGGGCCCCACCTTTATTGCTCTGCCTGACTAAACGTCGCCTCATTATAATGATTAATTCAACAAAAAAAAACCAGAGACATTTTCTTTGCAAAAAAAAAAAAAACAACTGTAATTATCAACCACTGTGCGGTGTCCAGCACCATTCATCTGTGTGCTGCCGCCGCGCTGCCTGGCTCTCACGGTCTCACTCTCGCTCTTGATCTCTCTCATGTTTCGTTTCCACTTGTAACGCGGCAAGCCATTCACACTCTCTGGCAGTCGAGTCGCCGCGAAAACCCACACAGAGACAGACGGGTCGCGTCGCATCGCTGTCGGCGCATTTGTAAATATATTTTGTTAATTCTACATTATTTTTTATCAACGAAATGCTATGCCGAAGAATGTAAACAAAAGCTATTTGATGCCAGATCCAGTGGATTTTTGTAAAGTAAGCAGATAAAATAAAAGTCTGCGGCAAACAGTCGTCTGTCTGTCTGTGCCCAGGAAGCAGCGCAGTCGACGCTTAGTAAAACCGTAAAATGCGAAGACAGGAGAAAGAATGAAAATAAAAACCCGTACATTCCAAAAATTTCATGAATGAAAGTGTAAAAAGTGCAACAAAAAAAAAACTCAATTAAAAAAGTGCAAAGTGCTTTAAGCTGAATTTGTTGTTCTTTTTTTCTGCTTTGTGTATGCATCGGCGCCCACAGTCTTGTCACATGTGTTTGTGTGCGTGTGTGTGTGTTGGGTCTACCTTTTATTCTCTTTGATATGTAAAGTTAAACGTTTTCCGCAGCTTTTCATTTATCATTTTAATATGTGTGAAATACATACAATTTTGTGCGTAAATTTGAATTCGCCGTGTAGTTTTGTTTGCGGTACGTCATCAATTCGCCGCTCTGCTGCTTGTATGCAGGTGTAGTGGTGAGCAGCCTTCTCTCTTGCGCGCTCTCTTCGCTCAACTGTTTGCTCTCTCTCGCTGCCGCATACAACTACAAAAACATGACGCGGCTTTTGCTTCCGTTGGCGTGCGTGTGTGTGTGTGGCGCGTAGTTTTTTTTAGTTTTGTTTTGCTTTTCATGTTTCTGCCGTTTCCACTTTGTGCTCGTGGTTCGCCCAAGCGCGGCATTGCCAACACAAAGTGTAGAGTAGAAAAGAAGTAGCAAACCACTGAATGATATTCTGGGTGCCGGAATGGGTGGAAATTATGATTATGAATACCCCCTTCCCAATCAATTATTTCTCTTTATAAATTATCTATTATTTTACACTATCTAGAGAATTGAACCGCATGTAGCGCGTAATAACGGAGCCCAAGAACAAAAGGAACACCAATTTTAACACCATTGGATTTTGAACATGAACAAAAATGCCGGCGATGGCAGCGGCAACGACGGCAAAAACTCAAACAATCATGGCAAGGGCGGTGGTGGCTCCAACGCGGGTGGGGGCGCCGGAGCCGGCAATCCGCACGATCCCACCGGACTCCTAGATGCCGCCTCGCTATTCGGTGAGTCCCTGGTGCATCCTTGAACCATTTACCTGGTCAAAAGCTAATCCAATGTTCTCCCTCAGCTTATTGGGGCCGTGATCCCACTGGAGCTGCGGCGGCAGCCGCCTCTAATCCGCTGTTCAACTCACAATTCAATGCAGCCGCCGCCGCTGGCCTGGGCCTCCTTCCGCAAACGGGAGGCGGCTCTGCCAATGACCGCTACTCGATGGCCGCTGCAGCGGCGGCGGCGGCCGGCGCCCATCATCATCAGAACACCATGGCAGTGGCCGCTTCGCAGGCCGCCAGTCTGGCAGGTCTGCATCCAGCAAGTGAGTAAAATGTCGGCATGCATCCGTATTTTGGTGCTCCCCCTACGACTCTCAAGGACCATTTATGACGCTTTCAAAGGAGCCGCCGCTATGCAGCTGCTCGCCAAAGGCTTTGGTCTTTTGGGATGTGTTCCTTCTCTCAATTTCTGTGGAGGCAAACAGCAAGTGCTCTCGTCCTATCGAGCGGGGCATTTGAAGAATATCCTCCTAGAGCAAACTTTCGTCTAATACTCCGTATTTCTGCGTCCTGCACTGTGCTCTCTTCCATGGCCAGTGCGGTGGGCGGCAGGGTTAGACACACTATTTTGTAGCAAAGATTATTGTGGATGCCTTGCTCTGAATCATCCGATTGCTGATTCCATTTACTTTTCGTTGCAGGCTGGTGGTCGATGGCACAACTGGCGGCTCAGGACTACTTTAGTCGGCTGCAGGCGTCCGGCCTCTCACCATTCCCGCATCCAGACCTGGCGGCAGCCTTCGGGCCGGCGGCAATGGGCATGGGCGCCACAGGAGCAGGCGGAAATGGTGCAGGCAGTGGCAGCGTAATGGGTGCGGGTGCTGGCAGCGGATCGGCTGTGGGTGGCGGCAATGGCGGGGGCGGAGGATCGTCCAGCTCCTCTGGCAGCAAGTCCAACAAGTCGCGCAAGGAGAAGCGGGCGGCACAGCAGCAGCAGCAACAGCAGCAGCAACAGCAGCAGAGCCTGGCCAACAGCCTGAATGCGGCGGCGGCAGCGGCTGCAGCAGCTGCGGCCAACAATCCGGCAGCAGCGCTCGCCAGCATGCACGGATTCGGTGTGCCGGGATCGGTGGCCGTGAGCACGGGAAGCGGATCGATCTCCACCAGCAGCGGAGGCGGCCATGGAGGATACAAGGTAAACTTGTCTTCTTAGCCTTCTTTTGGTGCGGTAACCTGTAATCCTCCCATTTGCAGAGCACGGCCAGTGCCTACGGGAAGCCTTCGACGATGACGAGCAACAGCATGGCGAGCAATCCGAGCTCCGCGTACGATCCTGTGACCCTGCACAAAGAGCTGATGGCCATGCAGGCGGTTGCAGCCGCCGCCTCGGGATCGGGCGGAGGCTCCGGCAGCGGCTCGTCGGGCAAAAAGTCCGGCGGCGGCGGCAGTTCCTCCTCAATGCACGGCCACGGAATCTCCGGCCTCGGCATGGGCGGTGGGGGCAACGGCGGCATCATGTCCGGCAGCAAGGCATCGTCCACGAATGTCAGCTCCAGCAACGCGTCGCTGGGTGGCATGCATCCCAGCCTGGGCAGCGCCAATCCGCTAATGTCTCCCCATGGCATGGGCGGTGGATCCTCGTCGTCGGCGGGGGCATCGGGCAAGGACCGCGACAAGAACAATCCCTCGCTGAATGCCCTCAATTCGCTGTCGCAGTTCGGGGCCCTGGGCATGACGCCGCAGCAGAGCATGCAGGCGGCGATGAATGCGTTTGCGGCCAGCACGGGAGTGGTGCCCAGTGCCACAGTCACGTCGTCGTCGCAGCATCACAGTTCCTCCCAGCAGCAGCAGCAGCAACAGCAGCAGCAGCAGCAACAGGCGGGAATCAGCTCAACGGGTGGATCATCGGGGAGCAAGGGTGGCAACGGTGCAAAGGATTACATGAGCGCAGCAGCGGGAATGATGAGGTGAGTGGAAGGTGGTTCTCTGATTCTCGCCCCCGAAATCTAATCAATTCTCTTTGTGGAACAGCGGCAGTGGCAGCAGCGAGCATCCCTCGTTGCTGGGCGTACGCCTGCCACCGGACACGGAGATCATCAAGTATACGTCCTCGATTGTGGGCCCCAAAATACCTGGTACTACATCACGGGGTCGCAAGAAGACTATTTCCGAAACAGAACAACAACAGACCACACATCAACAGAAACAACAACAACAACAACAACACCAAGCAGAACAACACCTACTCCAACAACAATTACAACAGCAACAGCAAAAAGAGCTCGACAGCACCACAAATGCACTCTCCTCTCTGCTTGCATTTCCAGGTCTCAGTCCCGCGAAGCGGGCTAGACTCGAAATGGAGTACGCGGCAATGGCAGCAGCCGCCCAACAGCACCAGCAGCAGCAGCAGCACCAGCACCAGCACCAACAGCACCAGCACCAGCAGCAGCATCACCAGCAGCAGCAACAGCAACAGCAGCAGCAGGCGGCAGCAGCTGCTGCAGTGGCAGCTGCCGGAGGACTCCATGGAATGCTGGGAGCCGCTGGCATGCCAATGGGCAGTCTGTCCGGCCTCACGGGCATGTCCAATCCGTTGGATCAGCTGAGTGTCACCAAGTCCAGTGCCTCAACGGTGACCAGCAATGCCAATTCTTCGGCGTCCTCGATGGGCGGCCACGGTCACGGCCAGGGCTCATCGAGCGATCGGGTGGAGGTGATCAAGCTGCCGCCGACCATCACCTCGAACGGCGCCTACAATCTCTCCAGCAAGGGCAAGGAGGTGCACGATCTGACCAGCGATCATGCAGCCCCCGGCTCGGGTGGCGTTAATCTCAGCCTGAAGTCGGCGTCCAGTGCGTTGCCACCCGCCGCCACTGGGGCAGTGGGCTCCGCCTCGAATCCCATCACCATCGACGACTTTGATGCGCCGCTTAATCTGTCCATGAAGCCTTCGGACAAGAGCAGCGGCGGAGCCCCAACGGCGTCCACTTCCACCTCCAGCTCGGCGCTGGCCAACATGGCCAGTGAGTACCAGGCGGCTGCTCAGGGCGGCAACAGCCTGCAGTCTCTGAGCTCCATTACGGCCGCTCTCGGCGGCAGCAGTGGGGGCATGCCGGGTGGGTCCATTTCGGGCAGTGGCGATACGTCGCCGGCACCTCAACACGGAGGCGGTAGCTCGACAGGCGGAAACTCGTCGGGCGGCGGCGGCGGAGGAGGCGGTGGTTCCTCCTCGTACAAGGAGGGGCGTCCGCGCAATCTGGGACGTGGAGTGTCCAAGCCCAAGAAGAATACAGTGGCCTCCCTGCTGGCCCAGTCGCGGGCTGTGGGCCTCAAACCGATGCTGGCCACCCAACAGCTGCTCCAGCAAGGAGCGGACATTGTGAGTTCTACTCCCCAAGGATCCCCAGGGATCAGCTCTGAAATTTGCTGAACTTTCTCTCATTTGCAGGAGAAGATCCGGCTGGCATTGAGCGAGGCCAATGCGCACATGGAAACATCAACGGACTCGGAGAGCATGGCCGCCGAGAGCGGGCTGTCGGAGTCGGAGAGCGAGGATGCCAACATACACAATGTGTCGGAGCTGCGAGTGCCCCTGGACATGGGCTGGAAGCGGGACACGGTCATCCGAGGCCTGACCAAGCTGGGACAGATCCGTGGGGAGGTCACCTACTATGCGCCGGGCAGTGTGGCGCCCCTGAAGACCATTGGACAGGTTTTTGCTGTGAGTTTGTAGGGCGAACTTTTTCTCTCCTTTTGGCACACGAATCCACACCCAAGCGACCCCACACCCACCCTCCTACCCATCTTTGAGAGCAGGACTCTAACAGCTTTTTCTCGACAGATCCTGGAGCAGCAGCCATCGAATCTGACGCGCGAGAACTTTAGCTTCTCCGCACGGGCCATTGTGGGATCGTTTCTGCAGCCAGCGCCGCCGCCGTATGCCAACGATGGCGAGTACATACGGATGACCGACGAGGATGTGGCTAAGCGGCTGGAGGACCTCAAGGTGTTCACACGCCAGACACTCAATGTGGAGCAGCGCATCGAGATTGCCAAGCAGCAGCAGGCGATGCGGGATGCCAAGAAGCTGCAGAAGGAGGAGCTGGCGCGCAACAAGGAGAAGGCGCGCCAGGAGAAGAACGCCAAGCTCGAGCAGCAGCGCAAGGAGAAGGAGATGAAGAACCAGCAGGCCATCGAGGTGAGCCCGGAGAAGGGTATGGTGGTGGTGTGGCATGCAATAATCCAAACTCCTTTCTTTCAGGAGCGCAAGAAGCGGCAGGAGGAGCTCGATCGCCTCAAGCAGGAGGAGCTGCTCAAGAAGCAACAGGTCAGTCTCTCCCTCCCCCCCTCCAGGCGGCACCCAGGCAGATTTTCCATAATTTCCATTTGTTTTTGTTTTTTTTTTTGCACTAGGAGAAGGAGAAGCGTCGTCAGGAAGCAATTTTAGCCAAGGAACAGGTACAAAATGCAATTCCCTTTTCGTACATTTTGTACTCCTCTTTCCTCTCCCTCTCTCATCTCCTCCTCCTCCCCCCCTCCACACATTTTGTGCTTTGTTTTTAAATATTTTTCAACCTTGAGTTCGGTTTGTTTTGGCATTAATCCCTGCTTCGGCCATCTTGCTCCTTTAAGAACTCGCAGGAAATACCTTTCCACTAACAAATCTGCTCTTTTCTTCCTCGCAGGAACTGCAGAAGCAGAAGGAACTGCTGCTGGCCGCTGAAATGGTAAGAGCATCCATAGATTATCCCAAGATCAATCAATAACTGACCTGATCTCTCCTCGAAAACAGGAACGCGAACGTCGACGGCAGCACATGAATCTCATACGGATGCTGGAGGTGCGGCGCAAGTTCGAGGAGCGGGAGAAGAAGAAACACCAGCTGGTGCTGGATCGCCTCATACTGCGCGAGCGCCGCATGGCCGAGAGGAAGCGTGACGCGGAGATCCTACAGCTGATACGGCGACCCAACGAGGACTCGGAAATGCTGCAGGAGATGGCGGTGCCGGAGCTGGAGCGCATTGCCGGCAATCGATTGCCGGGCCAGGCAATGGCCGATCTTCTGATGGTCTTCGAGTTTCTGCACAACTTTGGCGAGACCCTCGGCTTCGACATGGAGTCGCTGCCGTCGCTGCAGAACCTCCACGACGCTCTGATCAGCGACAGCAATGCGGATGCCGAGGAGGAGCTGCTGTCGGTGATGACGCACCTCCTGGTGTGTGCCATTGAGGATCCCGGCGTGCCCAATCCCGGCCGTCACACAACGCTGCTGGGCCAGTCGCTGCGCAACGCGGACATAACAAACTCGAATGTGTCGGAGATTCTGCGCATCTACCTGTACGCCACGGCCACCGGAGAGGTGCGCCAGATGCACGGCATCACCGTCGACAGGGAGCGGGAGCGGCGGGTGCCCGACCACCACCAGGTGGACGCCGACACCAGCACGCACTCGGCCAAGAACCAGGAGTACTACAAGCTGCTCCACGAGAACGACACCTGGAAGCTCTCGTACGCCCTCAAGGACCGCCCCTTCGTGGCCCTGAATCCGACGCGCAAGGCCCAGATGTTGGCCCACCTATGCAACGACCTGCTGATGAACAAGGCCGTGCTGCGGCAGATCGACGGCAGCCTCGAGACCTGCGCCCAGATGCGCAAGGAGAAGTACATGACGGACATGAAGGTGCGCAAGTACAAGGCCCTCCACATGCGCAAGGCCCGCATCGAGGCGTACGAGAAGGCGCAGGCGGAGCGGGAGGCGGCCATGCACGCCCTGATGGCCCAGCAGAAGCTGGACGCCGAGCGGCTGGCCCAGGCACAGGCGAAGCAGGCAGAGGCCGTGGCCGAGGCCGAGGCGGCAGCAGAGGCCATGCAGGCGGCGGCTGCTGCCGAAGGAGACGACACATCCAAGGCACCGGACATCGAAGGAGAGGGACTTCCTGTGGAGACCAACAACGGGGAGACCAACAAGGAGGGGGAGGATGGCAAGGACATTCCATCACAGCCCATGGACGTGGATGGCGTTGATTGTGCGGTCACTAATCGGGAGGAGGCCACGCCCGCTGCACCACTCCTCGATTCCTCGCTGGTGAGCCCCGCCAAGAGCTGTATTTCTTCCGTGGATTGCATTACTCCCGGCAAGCAGATGTCGGGACAGGACTTTGCCACACCCACGCCTACGCCAACGCCCACGCCCACCTATCAGCACAACGGTTCGAGTACGCCCACAACAGGTGGCCTAAATGCGGCAGCGGGAGTGGGAGTGGGAGTGGCAACTGTGGCTGGAGGTCTCGAAATGCAGGCAGCCCTGATGCAGGCCAAAAAGAGCGGAGCCCGCAACTCCATCAACGAGGATGGCCACAACGATGTGAGCATCATCGAGGACGACCTCTCCGACCTGGACTCGGAGATCACCAATGTGGAGGAGGACGAAGACAATCGCCTGAGTGCCGATGAGCTGCAAAAGAAGCTGGACAAAATCGTGCGCGCTTCGCTCAACTGCAAGGAGGCGCTGGAGAAGAGCACCAATCAGCTGCGTGCCGCCTGCTTTGGGCAGGATCGCTTCTGGCGACGCTACTGGAAGCTGCCCAAGGCCGGAGGCATCTTCATCGAGGCCCTGGAATCAGCCCAGAACGATATCTGTGACTACCACGAGGCCCTGGAGAATATGGACGAGAAGCGGCTGCAGAAGGAGCAGCAGCAGAGCCAGAAGCAGATCGAGGACGGATCCAAAGACCAGGAGGCAGAGCCAGAGACTGAGAAGGTGGCAGCGAAGGAGGCGGAGACAGCGACGGGCACGGTCACGGACACGGAGACGGTGTCGGTGACGGGGACAGTGCAGCCCATGGAGGTGGATGAATCGCACGCAGAGATGAATCCAGCTATAGCCGTGGCCACAGCAGCACAGGATCAGGATAATCATCCAGAACGGAAGCGGGACGATCAGGACGATGGAGAGGAGGCGGAGGCGGAGGATGACGATGACGATGAGGTCACCGAAGTGAACAAAATCGAACCGGAGATTGTGGATCTGGGCGATGATGATGATGATGATGACGAAGCGGGTGCTGTGCCTCCAACGGTAGCCAAGATCGAACCGCCCCGACCCGAAATCAAGGTCAAGTCGGAGATGGAGCTAATGGGTCCGCCCACCACGATGATCTCCACCAAAACGGACTTCGAGGCGGAGATCAAGATACCCTCGATGCCTGGCCACATGATTCCAACCCTCAACAACAACAACAACAGCATTGGCAACGACAGCAACTGTGATAAGTTGGAGGGAATGGGCATGGGCATGGGTATGGGCATGGGAATGGGAGTGGGAATGGCACAGACATATGGCCAGAATCTGATCACATCTTCGACCATCAAAATGGAGGACCTGAAAAAGGAAACGTCCGACGATTGCATCATTGTGTCCACCTCCAGTGGCGACGATACGCCCAAATGGTTCTCGATTGTGCAGCGCGAGGTGCCGCTAATCAGCGAACTGCCCGCGGAGGAGGGCGGTGTGGTCGCCCAGGAACTGCAGTGGGGCTATGCAAACCAGAACTGCTATGCCCAGCTGCAGCTGCAGGGCCATCCGTGGGACCTGATCAACAACGTGCAGTACTACTCGATACCGATGGAGGAGTGCAAGGTGGATCCGGGGAAGCTGGCGCAGGAGTGCATCTTCTCGCTGAGCGGCCTGGACGAGCGCCAGATGCAGGCCAAGCTGGAGGAGTACGAGGCCAAGATCAAGATCAAGTGCACAGTGCCAAAAAACGGTCTGGAGTCTCCTCATCGCCCCCTCGTGACGACCGATGATGAGGAGCAGGAGATCAAGTTGAAGCCGGATGCCGACGAAGATGGACAGATGGATGTGGATGCGGAGGCGGACGCTGAAGCGGAACCAGATGCGGATGCTGAAACGGACGCTGATGCTGAGGCAGATGGAGATGCGCATGCGGAGAAGGACAACGAGCACGCCGGCAAGGACAAGTTTTTTCGTTTGCGCACTGATGTCCCCCCGGACACGGGCGGGGGAGAAGGGGCACTTGAGGACGGAACAGATGCCCCAGAGCTAAAGCCGAAGATTGAGCTGCGGCTGGATGAGGCCCTGTCGCAGGCCTACTACCACAACATCGCCAACATGTCGCTGAGCAGCGTCCAAACGTACATCCCCATCGACATTCCCCTGCCCCTGTCCATGACGCCCGACGAGCACCGGCTCCTCGAGCAGGTGAAGCTCTCCGGCTTCCCGGACAAAGTGCACGGCGTGTACGTGCCGCAACGCCAGCGCTACGGCTGGTGGCAGCTCGACGACGAGCAGAAACTGCGCCAGCTCCTAAAGACCCTGAATCCGTCGGGGCTGCGGGAACGGGAGCTGCAGGAGAACCTGACGCGCTTCCTCACCCTGGAACAGCCGCTCGGAGTCAACTACCAACTGCAGCCGCTGGAGGCCCACATGGTGGAGTACCTGCTGCCGGACGGGCCGCACGACTGGAACCCCAAGGTGGCCAAGCGGGTGGAACTGGCCCTGCTCGAACAGCTCGAGTCGCTGGAGGACAAGGTGGCCAGCGCCTCGATGCAGCTGAAGAACTGGCAGGTGCCCAATCGCGTCGAGGGCGAGCAGAGCCTGCCGGAGCCGGAGGAGGTCAGCGAAGAGGACTTTATCAGCATCATTCCCATGATCCGGGAGCGGATCATCGATCTGGAGGCCAACATTGAGCGGCGCTACCTGAAGCCGCCGCTCGGCTCGCAGACGGGCGACGCCCACCTGGCCGTGATTGCCCAGAACCAGCACACCTCCACCCAGACCCAGAACTCGGCCTCTGCCGCGGCCTACCTGCTCCAGATGCAGCAGCAGCAGTTGGTCCAGCAGCAGCAGCAGCAACAGCAACAGCAGCACCAGCAACATCATCAGCAACAACCGGGAGGAAACAGTCTCAATCCCTCATCCTTCAACGAGCGCACCATGGCCCTGGCAGCAGCCGCCGCGGCTGCTGCGCCCAACTCCACCAACGCCTCCGGCTGCCCGGGCGAGTCTGGCAGCGTGGAGCCCGTCTCTGGCAACGTCTCGCCAGCCAGCAACTGCGACAGCGACAGGGACGAGAAGGTGGAGAACATACCCAAGGGCCTGGTGCAGTGGCGGGATGCAGTGGCCCGGTCCCACACCACGGCCCAGCTGGCCATGGCCCTCTACGTGCTGGAGTCCTGTGTGGCGTGGGACAAGAGCATTATGAAAGCGGTAAGACAAAGAAATGTACAACCACCCCATACCCTGGCACCACCACTCCCGCCCCAGCCCCAACCATCTATCCATCCATCATCTTTTTGTGAACACTCCCCAGCCAGTGCTCTGCCAACATTTTTTTTTTGTTATTGCACACTCGCTAGACTTTACTCGCTACACGCTACTCGCTACACTCACGCTCACACATGCACATGCACATTTTAATACTAACCGTATTCACCACAGCCAAACCAACGAGTGAGAGACGACGAGAGCTCTCGTTTATTTAGTTTTGCATCGTAGAATATTTTTAAATTTCTTCTTTTTTTTGAGTTTTTTCTTATTCTACCTCTGCATCCCCTTGCCCTTCCGCTTCCGCTTCCACAACACACCTCCTCCTATCACACCCCACGCCCCTACCGGTCCAAAGGAAGAAATTTATTGCATTGCCTGCCAAAAAATATGAAAATTAATTCAAAATTTGATTTGTTTGTTTCCTCTTCTAATTATATTTATATTTTTTTCTTTCTTTCTTTCTTTCTTAACAACTCTCTTGCTCTCTTGCTGAATGTTTGACTTGTTTGTTGTTTGTGGTGTTCTAAATGGTGTTCTAAAACTTTAAAAAAAAAAACCAACAAATATGCAACAAATTTAACGCTTTCATAATTACTCACACTCACACACATACACAAACACACCCACATACACACACACATACATTACAATACATTACATTACATTACATTACATACATGAATGCTTTTGTTGCCCTGTTAACGTTTACCGTTTACCGCTATCCGTATTACCATTATACCAACTCCCCCTCCCCCCCACCTGTTGACAAAAAAAAAACCGAACAAAAAATAAATTTATCCCCATCCCTGGACCGACTCGAACCACAACCACAACCCAACGAACCTTCAATCACAACCACAACCGCAACCGATTCCAACTGCAACTGCAACCAATTCCATCTGCAACCGCAACGAACACAACATGTTTTTGGTTTGCGCACAAAAGTATGCAACAAGAAACAAGTCGAGCAAGAAGAGCAGCGCCAAGAAGCAGGCAACACCCAACAAAAAGAAGCAGCAGCAGCAGAAGAATAAGAGCAAGAAGAAGAAGCAACCCACGCCACAGAAAACAACAAAATCGGAACCGCCACCGCCACGGCCCCCGGCGACACCCCCAAAGGAACAAAAGCATCAAAAACAGCAGTCCCTGAGCATCAAAATCAATCTAAAGGCTCTCGCCAAGGCAGCGCAAAACGGACAATCCCCCCCAGCCCAACCGCCTTCCTTATCGCCCTCCCCCAGCGAGGATCAAGACTCCCGCACGGACTCTGACTCGGACTTTGGGGCAAAAACGACGACCACGACCACGACAAAGACAAAAACACGCAAACGTCGACGCTCGGCCACAACCACAAACTCTAGCAAATATTCGAATTCCTTACAGAATTGCCAGTTCTGCACCTCGGGCGAGAACGAGGATAAGCTGCTCCTGTGCGATGGCTGCGACAAGGGCTACCATACGTACTGCTTCAAGCCCAAAATGGACAACATACCCGATGGCGACTGGTGAGTACTCTCTCTCTCTCTCTCAACGCCCTGCATCCCCATTTCCATCTCCATCTCCATTTCCATTCCACCACACACAACGTTGCCTCATTCTGTGCACACACAAAAATCATCCATGGATGTCCTTCTTGTCCTTTGTGTCGCGTTGTTTGTTGAACGTTTATGTGACCGTTAACCGTTGAGACACTCTGTTGTTGCGTGGCACTGTTGTTCCCACACCCACTCCCACTCCACCTCCACCTCCTACTCTCTCAAGGCAAAAAGGATCCCCAGAGTAATCCTTCCCCTCTCGCTCTCGTCTGTCTCCCTCCAGGTACTGCTACGAGTGCGTGAACAAGGCCACCAATGAGCGCAAATGCATCGTGTGCGGCGGCCATCGTCCCTCGCCGGTGGGCAAGATGATCTACTGCGATCTGTGTCCGCGCGCCTACCACGCCGACTGCTACATCCCACCGCTGCTGAAGGTGCCGCGCGGCAAGTGGTACTGCCACGGCTGCATTGCACGGGCCCCGCCGCCCAAGAAGCGGAGTGGCGGCACCAGCAGCAGCAGCAGCAAGTCGCGTCGCGATCGCGATGCCAGCACAGCCGCCAAGCGGCGCAACGACAAGCCGGGACTACCAGGGCCAGTGGGTGCCACCAGCATGGAGCACTTGCCCCAAATGGGGGGAGGGGACGCGCAGCACCAGCTGCAACAGTCGCTGAATTCGTCGCACGACGAGTCCATGACATCGCTGCCGCCGCCTTTGAGGTGAGTGTTGACACAGCCACCAGTGCGGGCCCGGGACACACATATAATCCGCCCCTTTACTCCCTGTTTTTTTGGTAGTCCGGCGCATTCGATTGCCTCGGCCACGTTCGAGGATCAGCAACACACCAACTCTATCGACAGCAGCCGTTTCCAGGCGCATCTGGGCAACAGCAACAACAACGGGGTCGTGCCGCTGCCCGAGGAAGTGGCTGTCGCTCCGACGGGATACCCGGTCTATCCGCAAGCCAGCGCCTTTGCCGCTGGTCTGGTGAACCCCACAGGACCCACAGTTCTGCCCATACTTCCCGTACCCCATGGACCGATGCAGTTCAGCAACGTGGCCATGTCGCCACGGGCTGTGACGCCCACCCGAACGCCGACGCCGACACCGGCGCCGACACCACCGCCACCCGGGCCACTGCATCCGCCCGTGCCCACATCGACGACACCGCTGCTTATGCAGGCTTCGCCGACGGCCCTAAACGCCATCTGCCAGTCGCCGCCGCATCAGCAGCCGATGACCATGCCCTCGCCGCGTGCCTGCACACCCACACCACCCACGGTGGGAGCGGCAGGGGGAGTGGGAGTAACGCAAATGTCACCGCCGCCCATCAATATACATGCCATACAGGAGGCCAAGGAGAAGCTAAAACAGGAGAAGAAGGAGAAGCACGCGACCAAGAAGCTCATGAAGGAGTTGGCCGTTTGCAAGACGCTCCTGGCCGAAATGGAGGTGGGTTTCCCATTTCACATTTCCCATTTTCCATTCCCAATGCCTAAGGCATACCTAACACTGTATTTTCGTTCTTTCGCGCAGCTTCACGAGGATTCGTGGCCATTTCTGTTGCCCGTGAACACCAAACAGTTTCCCACTTATCGCAAGATTATCAAATCCCCCATGGACCTATCCACCATTAAGAAGAAGCTCCATGATTTGAGGTAGGGAATCGCCAGCCGCCCCACGATCACTTGCATCCAAGTATTAATTTCCCCTCGATATCTCTTTTGGTTATACAGCTACAAGGCACGCGAGGACTTTTGCGTGGATGTGCGACAGATCTTCGACAACTGTGAAATGTTCAACGAGGATGATTCGCCTGTTGGAAAGGCGGGGCACGGCATGCGCAAGTTCTTCGAGTCCCGCTGGGCAGAGATGACCGAGAAGCACTCCTGATCGTATCCGCAGCTCCAGCTTGCCACCAGCGACAGCTCCACACCGGATCCCATAGAAATAGTGATACCAACGGCGGAAACAACCGCCGAAGCAGCACAATTTTGGCCAAGAGATTAGGACTAGAGCAGAGAAGGACGAGTGGGAGGCATACAATTGTATATAATTATAGAGGGATAGCCGATACAAGCAAAACACACACACAAGAAGCATTATTATATTTATATATAGTACGATTAGATATATATATATATATATAGCCCACGTCCTACGCTGTTCGTTGACGAGACCTTTGCAAGAGCGCCTCGAATGTCCTCCCCAGTAGCCAGGCGAACAAGCGTGTGCCAGCAACAAAATTGTATCTAGTTGATTAAGCATCCACGAAAGCAAGGAAACAAAACAGTGAAGCAGTATAAACCATAACTATTAGCCAACATAATCGAGCAGCTCCTACATATAGCTAAAATCGTTTAAGAAGCCATCCACAGTACAGACGCGACTCTCTGACAAAATGAACGTACAAAATGAAACTATGTCGCCCCAGAAAAAACCAACCCCCATTCAATCAATCGATCCATCATTCGAACAGTATTTTGTGCACTCTGTGCAGCTCTGCGTCTCGCTTTGTTTTACACAATTCTAAAACGTAATAATTTTAACTCTTAATTTAAATTGTAATTGTAACTGTAATTGTAATTGTATTTGTATCTGTAATGTTTTATGTTTAAAGCTGACATCAACGAAGCGCTCATTTAAGTTTTAACGTGTATTACTGTATTGTACTTATAGCCACTCCGACAATTGTATTTAAACATATATACACATACCTATATACTAGCATTAAAATTAACATTAATATTAACTAGAGAGAGCCTTAATCTGGCAGCGGAGCGGACTCAAATATACTCAAAAGGGATGGCAGTACGTGGCACAGATCGAGAGTTGTAAATGAATGTGAAACGAAGGCAACATACAATTAAATTAAATTGAATGTATTAAATTATATTCTCTGTGTAAATTTTCCACAATGTAGTTGGCATTTTTAATCGCAACTTTTGGCAAATCTCAACACGCAAATTGCAAAACGAAAAACGAAATTCAAATACAAACAAAAGTTAAATATTAATCAAATGATGTTGAATGGCGGGAGCGAGAGACGGAGACCCTTTGTTGGACATATCCTAGCGGGATTTAAGCGCAACTCCAGAGGCGAGAAACGAGAATTGAGATTAACGGTTTAGACGTAGAATCGTGAGGGGCAGAATGCAGATGCAAATGCAAGTTTTAGCTGTAGATAGTCTATATCCAAAAACAATATATGCACGCGCCTAAAGTGTAGTCCCTAGCCGTTGTTGGGGGAGCATTATGAGAATTATAAATGTTAAATATACATTTACTATATATGTAGTATAGTATAGTATGTACACAGAATACACACAGACAAGTTAGCAAAAATCAATCATATTTACACGAATTACAAAAAAACATTTTTGAATAAATCAAACTCATTTGCAGTGCAGCACAATAATTGAATGAAATTGAAAACGAAACTGTTGAACGGACGGAGAGGAGAGCGAAAGGAATAAATGCAAGTACCTTTAAGTACGAGTATATCGGGAGGAACAGATAGTTTTTTGCAAACGTTTTCCCGCTTAAACAATACAAATAGAACCGAATCGAAACAGAACCCATAGCAGACAGACCAGACAGAAAACCTCAACAATAACTACCTACAAGATACAAGATACAGACACAACTGCACAATCGATTAGGCAGGCAGTGCAGTTGTGTGGATATACATACAGCCATTATAGATTTTTTGTGTAAAGTTCAATATGATATGGAGAGATGGGGCAGCATTTGCAATGAGTTGCTTGTGTAAATAGGAAGCGATGGCCCCGCCCCCTAACCCCTAACCAATGCTTGTAAATAAGTCTATATATGATATATACTTAAGATTAAAGTCCAATCGAGAAGCAGAACCGCAGAACCAGAACAAGTCCTGGTCCCAGCATGTTATTGGCATTCATACAGTTGTGTCACTTCCCTAAGCGATAATTAACGGAGAAGCTAATATATTGGAGTAGCAATATCTATTTGTATTCAGATTTGTATTTATTTATGTGTTTGTGGTGATACAGATATATAGTATATATAGAAATATATTTTAAAATCATAGGTACATACAGTATATTGTATCCCTATCCAATGCATATGTGAACGTACTTAATCATTAACAAATATTAAACGATAACTAAGCCTCCTACATATACACACACACTCACACACACACACACACACACACTACACGCACACTAAAGCAACATTAAATTAAAAGAAAAACAAAAGAAAATTTACAAAATTTATATATGAAATTATGGTGGGGCATTCATTTTCGACTCTTTCGTGCACAAGGAAACAAAATATAAGTAAAGTAAACCGTATAAAAAACAAAACAACAAAAGCGTGTGTTCTTATTTCTATGGGGTCCCTGCATTGCACCGGAAAGCTATTAACTCATTTTTTTTGGGAAGATGCATCTCGTGCCAAGGTGGCAGCCAGCCTGTCTGCCTGCCTGCCTGACACGCTCCATCTCTCCATACGATTGGATCGACAGATGAGTGAGCCTACCTGCAGTTGCAGTTGCAGCAAACCGCAAGCTTGAGCCTGGCCATTGGCCTTACCATTTACCGTTCCATTGGGCCATGCAAATGCAATGCTCCGTTGGCTGTGACAGGGCCCATAATCAACGAGGGGGAACGTTGTGAGTTGCTGCGGACACCGCAACTCTACGGTTATACCCGATACTAAGTCAGTATGGCTCTCCTCCAGCAGGCGGCGTCTAATATTAAACGACACGACAAAGAGTGCGTGCGAGAGAGACAGAAAATCAGTCTGAGCGTGACGTCGGGCACTGCGTAGCCACTGCAAATTGATTTGTTCCTTTTGGCTATAAAAATGATCTGATCTGATCCAGATTCAGTAATCTGATAGATATGGTCATTATCTTTGATTCTGCGTTTTTAGTTTTCTCAAATCTGCAATATTGTGGATGCAACAGATTTTCCTTTGTGGGGGCGGAAGGGGGTGGGGCGAAATTTTGAGATATACGTTTTATAGTGAGATCTAACAGGAGTGCGGATACTAAATTTGGTTACTCTAGCTTTAATAGTCTCTGAGATTTGTGAATATCCCCAGATTTGCATCCTTTGCGGGGGCGGAAGGGGGTGTGGCGAAATTTTGAAACAAACTCGTCTCGGTCCGATATATTAGGAGTGTGGATACCAAATTTGGTTGCACTAGCTTTTATAGTCTCTGAGATCTAGGCGCTAATGTTATACTCTAAGCAAAGCCGCCTATGCTACGTGTGTGTTAGAGAGAGACAGGGCGAGAAAAAATGAAATTGTTTTCTTGATGCTGGCTATAATAATAATACGATCCAATTCAGATTCCGCAGTCTAAGAGATATGGTCATTCTCTACGATTCTGCGTTTTTGGTTTTCTCGTATCTTTAAAATTGTGGATGCAACAGATTTTCGTCCTTTGTTGGGGCGGAAGGGGGTGGGGCGAAATTTTGAGATATACGTTTTATAGTGAGATCTAACAGGAGTGCGGATACTAAATTTGGTTACTCTAGCTTTAATAGTCTCTGAGATTTGTGAATATCCCCAGATTTGCATCCTTTGCGTGGGCGGAAGGGGGTGTGGCGAAATTTTGAAACAAACTCGTCTCGGTCCGATATATTAGGAGTGTGGATACCAAATTTGGTTGCACTAGCTTTTATAGTCTCTGAGATCTAGGCGCTAATGTTTTACTCTAAGCAAAGCCGCCTATGCTACGTGTGTGTTAGAGAGAGACAGGGCGAGAAAAAATGAAATTGTTTTCTTGATGCTGGCTATAATAATAATACGATCCAATTCAGATTCCGCAGTCTAAAAGATATGGTCATTCTCTACGATTCTGCGTTTCTGGTTTTCTCGTATCTTTAAAATTGTGGATGCCACAGATTTTCGCCCTTTGTGGGGGCGGAAGTGGGCGGGGCAAAGTTTTGAAATATTTTTGTAGCAGTGACATATCACAGAAGTCTGGATCCAAAACATCGTTGCTCTAGCTCTTATAGTCTTTGAGCATTAGGCGCTGAAGGGGACGGACAGACGGACAGACGGACGGACGGACAGACAGACAGGGCTCAATCGACTCGGCTATTGATGCTGATCAAGAATATATATACTTTATGGGGTCGGAAACGATTCCTTCTGGACGTTACACACATACACTTTTACCACAAATCTAATATACCCCAATACTCATTTTGAGTATCGGGTATAAAAAGAACTGCAGGGCTGCAATCTGCACATACTTTGGCTTTTGTGCAAGCGCATCAAAAACCCACCGCAACTGTCGGATGGGAGGAGATGGAGATCTCCTGAAGTCATCCGACCATCCGCTGCAATTGAACGCTTTCTGAGTGGCTTTAACCATGGGCATTGGGCATTGGGCATTGGGCTTTAGCTTTCGTTATTCCCTCAACCAAATCAAGTCTTCAAATCATTCAATTATGAATAAATAAATCTAGATTTTATACTTTTGGGCTTTCGGACCTTCGATCACTTTAAACTATAAATCTCTATGCCATAAATCTTTCCATTTTGAACACTTTTTGAATTGCTGACAGATTGGCAAAAGGGTTTCGTGGTGCTTCCCTTTTTTACGTAGGTGCGATTTGGCTTTACTGGGAAACAGCATAAAAATCCAAATTTCGTGTGGGAACCGAAGGTGTTAATATTTTAGAGCGTAATCCCCCGCAGCAATCAATGCTCCCAAAAAGAAGCCGACCACAAGATTATTCGTCGTATTGGTATACGAGTATTTTCCCTACTGCCTGTGGCTGCAACATTCTGAGGCATTGACAGTTTGAAACTCGAAACGCTTTAAAAATCGCTGATTTATGTAATTATTCGCGGCGACAAGAATTTCGTGCGCAGCCCAGAACCAAGAACCCAGAAGAGAGACGAACAAAAAGAAGAGGGGCATGCAGCGTAGGACCACGACACAGAGATTGGGTCCGTAGCTCCAGCTCCCGCCACATTATCAAAACATCATGGAAGATGACCAAATTAACTGGGGCTTCGGCCCCAGACGACAGACTTGGACTTGGACTTGGGCCTGGACTCCAGTTCCAAACGCGATGGCGACTACTTAGCGGGGCTACCTGACAGGGCCCTATCCCTGTCCCAGTCCCTGTCTCTGGCTGCTGCTAAAGGCAATAAAATTGACTCCATCGAAATTAAGAACGAACGGACGAGCCAGCCAACCAAACGAAATTGTATTGAAAACTCTTTGTGGATCTGCAGTTGGGTCTCGGACCGCGAAGAGCCAACTAATTTAGTGCCCTGCAACGAAACGAGTTTGCTGCCGTTGCATCCACCTTCCCCCGCCTCCCCCTGCTATGTATCCAATATACAATATATATACATATGCATAAATACATATGAAAGCAGCCAGCCCCCGACTTGGGTCCGTTGCCCAAAATGGAGATTTTTACGAGGCTTGCAGCCAGTCGTGGCCCGCAGTGAGGGGTAGGGGAGGGAGGGGAGGGGATGGCAGAGAGAGTCTTGATTGGGACATTAATTAAGACACAAATTGCTTTACCAAAAAGCGAAGCCACAGAGGAAACAATATCATCCATGCATCCATCCCATACTCATATGAAAAAACAAAAAGAATACCTCTATAATTCATGAATATTCATGCGGCGTAGGAAATTAATGACAGCTCAATGAGGCAGCTGGGAGCTCTCTAAAATGGTTCCACAGAAGATCGTTAAAAAAGAAACTTAATCAACTATTGGGAGACTAAGAAGCCATTAAACGGGGGAGTACAAGCTCATCGAGGACACAGGGAAAACGACGATAAGGAGCTGGTCCAGGCGAATAGATGGAGGAGCGGGGCAGTATTGGCCTTAGCAACTTTCACCTCTGCCGGAAGCCTGGCAACGAATTTTAGATTGGGATTGGGAACCATTTTG